ACTGAAAACAGCTGCTTATATTGAAGGACATGATAATGAACTTATAATGCACTTATTAAGTCTTACTAGTATGAAGCTAGTAACTGCTAATTAACTAGCAGTAATGATGCTGAATTAAACATTTTCCAGGGCTCATTTATTTCTGTGTTATGTATTAAAAATCTTTTGCACACCATTCAGTTTACTGGCTCTACATAGACTGTAGTTATAAATGAAGTCAGCTAAATTTCATCAGAACTACTTATTTACTTATTTTCCTCTTCTCAGAGCACTAGTTAATTAGTTCATTAATTAACTGATCATCATTTAGCTGTAAATACAGACAACCTGATTGACTATTCTAAAGGGAAGACTTCAGTGTAGAAATAACAATGGGAGCTTATATGGTATAAAAATATTGTAGCTTGTGTGAGAACCGTGTTCTAGTGTTTATTCTGAGTTATTGTTCTCCTGCAGTGAGACTCTGGGTTTATTCTGACACAGACTCTTATTGTAAAGGGGGAGCTAGCATTGCTGCGCTGCGTTTATGCATTACAACAGGAAGAACTGTGTCGGTGGGAAGTGAGAGGGTGCAGGTGTGAGCTGAGTGTAAAGCGAGCTGTTAGCCACAGACATTCTGTCTGTACAGTGTGGCTGTGGCCGACGGCAGCCTTTAATAAAGCACAGTGACTTTTACATAAACACTGTGTGGTGTAAAAGTGGTAAACGCTACAGTTGATGTCAGATGACAGATCTAGACTATTTGACCACTGGCAGTCAAGCTAATCTATAGAGTTCAGAAGAGAAACAGAACCCTGTGTTTATGTACGATTGAGGAAGACGACGGTGAGTTTGCATCTTTAAGAGCACCACAGCTGCCGGGGGCGAGTCGTATGGCCAGGGGGGAGCCTGTGCCTGCAGTGTCAGTGGAAAATCCAGGTGCAGATGTAAATAAAGATGGCGGCGCCCCTAAACAGCATGTAGTGGGCAGTCCTGCAGGTGTGTCTCTGTTGCCATCGTGGACAGAGGTGACGATAGAACTGATCTGAGGGCTGAACACAGCTGCAGCCATACAGACAGTGGCACAGGGCTGGAGCTGCTGGATGTGCCGGTTGACCGGGACATCTGATTAGGGCTTGGGGGTAAAGTCGGCAGGAAAGAATGCTGGCCTAGTCAAAAAGAACAACACAGGCAGTGAACTGTGGCCATGGTGTGGTGAATGCCCATTTTAGACTCCTGCACATTTTCATTGACATTAAAGGAGTTCCATGCGCTGCATAGGTGGACACAGTGGCCTGGCCTGTGGTGGTACCTGCTGGGTTCTAGCTGGAAGGCACGGCAGTTCATGAAGAGTGAAGTTGCACCAATGAGGCAGAGGGGATGGCTGATGCTGTGCAAAGTGAAACACACTGCATCAGAGCCGGATGGAGGATCTTTGGGGGCGGAGTTCACTGTCTGGTCGAAGGCAGCACGGCTTTTTGTGGGTGGAGCACATGAGCAGTATTCAGTCAGCGTTAAGGATGTGGAGAAGACTTTACCCGTAAGATAGACGTCTGCAGCAACTGCAAAACAGGACGTTGTTACAGGCGAAAAGGTCTTAAATATAGATGTTTATGTAGGTTTATGTAGGTGTTAATGTGGTTGTCTTTGTTGGTGTTTATGTAAGTGTTTTGTAGGTTTGTGTATGTGTTTATATTGGTTTGTGTAAGTGTTTACATAGGTGTTTATGTAGGTGTTTATGTAGGTGTTTTTGTGAATGTTTATGTGGTTGTTTATGTGGGTTTATGTAGGTGTTTATGTAGGTTTTGTAGGGGTTTATATGGTTGTTTATGTGGGTGTGTAGATGTTTATGTAGATTTATGTTGGTGTTTATTCAGGTTTATGTAAGTGTTTTTGCAACCTACAGCCCCGCCTAGTCAGACCACAGCAGTGATTTGTTTGATCTGATGTTTGATCTGAGTGCTGTCAGTGTGTTCAGAGGAACCGAGCAGCAGTAGCTTTGTGTCAATGAGGTTTTAACTGGGATTTACTGGCCTTTTAGTGTGCGTGAATAATTAATGGCACTCTCTAAGTTTTCTGAAGCCCTGCCAGAAGAAACGGGAGCTGAGTCAGATTCACTGAATCGAGTCAAATCCAGCTCTCAGGAAGTGTTTACAGCAGGTGAATCTCTTAGCTTTAGCTTGCGTTCACTCTGCAGCTGTATTAATCAGAGAGAGACGTGGCCACAGGTGAGCTAAAGTCCAGCCAAACACACCACTGCAGTATAGAGAGCTCCTCCGATGCAGACAGCCCAGAGCAATAAACACTGTTAAACTAATTAAGCGACGGCCCCCACTTTAATTAGGAGAGAAAATAGGTTGCCATGGGAACCTGCACTTCAGAGTGTGCAGGTAAACTTCACTTGTGCTGAACACATTAAAGTCAACCTGAAATCAAAACTGACCACCTTTACCCTGTTAGTTACAGGGGAACTCCAGTGATTGTTTAAAATTACCCATAATTCAGTGTGTGAAATGTAATCAGAGTGATTCAGAGTGGTTTGGTGTGAAATGGTTCAGATGTCTTTACAGTGGTGGTGATAGGAACCAGGGGTCGCCATGACTACAACACGAATATAGACATTTTATTTACTATCCAGAACCACCAGTGAACCTACACGAGTCTTCTGAGTTTATATGGAATGTTGATGATGGAAAATAGTGGAAAATCTGAAATAATAAGTTTTCTTTGGGGACTATTTTGCCTCACAGCGCCCTGCATGTATCCCTCCACCATGAATGGAGTTTAAGATCTCTAAACTATCATAAAACAGTGTCTCAGTCATCAGGCAGTGAATTCATTTCCATTTCATGTAGTAACTTTCTGTAAGGGAGCTTTTAGAGGCATTTAAGAACCAATATCCCATGATTGAACTGCTGTAGGCTGAGTGGGCAGGGCTAAACTGCTGTGGGCAGAAAATTCATTGTGGCTGGTTTTAGTACATAAAGCTACATGAACACTGTGAGTAAAAGCTGAATACACTGACAGACAGTTCTGCACAAAATCAGATTCAACAGTTTAGTCTGATTATCTGAGCAGTAAGTGTGTTTATGTCAATAGAAACTCTATATAATAATAGAATTTACACATATAAAACACAGAACAAAGGACGATTGTTGAGGTTTTAAAGGTTATTGATGTTTATTATTATTGATACGTATCATATTGATATGAAATGTGAATCATTGTGATATTGAGTCTGTGCTGGTTTTCAGTGTTGTGCTGACAGCGCCCCCCGCAGACCACTGGCCTCATAAACACCCCTCTGTGTGTTTGTGTGTGCGTGTGTGTGATCAGCCTGCATTGCACACACACTCTGCATCCCCATGGTAACAGTTCAGTGCTGTTTACTGTATTTATTCCTATTTATTTACTGTTTGTTTTCAGCTTCATTGAATCAACCGAATTTAGGGCCTCAGTAAAGTGATTCAGATTCTGAATAAAGTGATTCTGAATAAAGTGATTCAGATTCTGAATAAAGTGATTCTGAATTAAGTGATTCGGATTCTGCATAAAGTGAGTCTGAATAATGTTGATCTCAATAAAATGATTCAGATTGCGGAATAAAGAGAATCTGTTTGAATAAATAAAGGAACAAATGAACGAATGAAAGTGAATGAATGAATGAATTAGTACACGAGTGAATGAATTAATTAATGAGTAAGAGAATGAGTGAGTGAATGAGTAAATGAGTGAATGAATGAATGAATGAATGGGTGAGTGAGTGAATGAGTGAGTGAATGAATGAATAAATTAATAAATTAATAAATGTGTGAGTGTGTGAGTGAGTAAATGAATGAATTAATGAATGAGTAAATGAATAAATAAATGACTGAATGAAGGTACAAGAGAATGAAAAAATTAAATAAATGTGTGAGTGAGTGAATGAATGAATGAGTGACAGTGAATGAATGAATGACTTGATGAATAAGTGAGTGAATAAATAAATGAATGAACAAATGAATGTGTGAATGAATGAATGAATGAATGAATGAGTGAGTGAGGGAGTGAGTGAGTGAATGAATGAATAAATGAATAAATGAGTGAATATACTCAGCAGTATGAGTTTGGGATGTTTTCAGTGTAAAGAGACTGAAAGGTGCTGGTCGTCATGGATACGGCACTTATCAGCTCCTGAGTGTGATTAAAGTGATTAAAGTGATTAGAGTGAGAGAGAGACAGAGAGAGAGAGGGGGAGAGAGAGGGAGAGAGAGAGAGAGAGAGAGAGAGAGAGAGAGAGGAAGAGAGAGAAGAGAGAGAGAGAAAAGAGAGAGAGAGAGAGAGAGAGAGAGAGAGAGAGAGAGAGGAAGAGAGAGAAGAGAGAGAGAGAAAAGAGAGAGAGAGAGAGAGAGAGAGAGAGAGAGAGAGAGAGAGAGAGAGAGGAAGAGAGAGAGAGAGAGAAGAGAGAGAGACAGAGGTTCTAATTGTAGATTACTGACTGATGTTGAACGTTTTTATCATTATTATTATTATTATTGATTATCAGTAATACTGTTGTACTGTTTAGTGTTGTAGTGTTTTTGAGGAAATGGCGCCACCTGCTGGATTAAAGATGAGTCATGAGTATTGCAGCACGAGACTCATTAAAACTTACAGTTTATAAAAATATAGGAAAATGCATAAAATACAGAAACACCTTCTTCAGTTTTATAATCTATTAAATAATAATGATTAAATACACTTAATTCAACTCTGACAATGTATACATTCGGCCTTATGATGTAAATATTCAGTGTTGTAATGTGTATATTTAGTGTTGTACTGTATTTATTAAGCGTTATAATGTATAGATTTAGCATCATAATGTAAATATTCAGTGTTATGATGTAAATATTTGGTGTTTGACGTTCAATCGCTGCGCTGTTCTGCGCTCGTTCTGTCTGATGCGAAATAAACGTGGTGTGTCACGTGGCTCTGAAAGTCCAATAGGAAACACTGGTAAATATTTAGTCTCCGTGTCTGAGCCAATCAGAGCGCGCGGTGTTGGAGCAGGGAGCCAATCAGAGGCGGTTGTGGTGTCGGGCTGGTGTGCTGAAGCAGGATCGTCTCACGGTGAGAAAAACTCTTCTAACTCTGTAATTCAGCTCAGTGAGTGATCAGTACAGCCGCCCGACTGATTATCGATGAGCAGCGCAGCGATCAGTTCGGTCCGATCGAACTCAGACAGTTTAGGAATCAGACAGTCAGAGCGGAAACAGCGGCGGCACAGACAGAGCTTCAGCTTCAGCTTCAGCACTTTCACCACATCAGCACTGACCCGACCCTCAGCGGTAAACCGGCTAATAAACACTGACTGATTAATAAACTCTGACTGATTAATAAACTGACTGATTAATAAACTCTGACTGATTAATAAATACTGACTGATTAATAAACTGACTGATTAATAAACACTGACTGATTAATAAACTCTGTGATTAATAAACACTGACTGATTAATAAACACTGACTGGTTAATAAACTGACTGATTGATAAACACTGACTGATTAATAAACTCTGTGATCAATAAACACTGATTAATAAACACTGACTGATTAATAAACTCTGACTGATTAATAAACTGACTGATTAATAAACTCTGACTGATTAATACATACTGACTGATTAATAAACTGACTGATTAATAAACACTGACTGATTAATAAACTCTGACTGATTAATAAACACTCACTGATTAATAAGCACTAACTGATTAATAAACACTGACTTATTAATAAACACTCACTGATTAATAAACTCTGACTGATTAATAAACACTGACTAATTAATAAACACTCACTGATTAATAAACACTAACTGATTAATAAACACTGACTGATTAATAAACTCTGTGATTAATAAACACTGACTGATTAATAAACACTGACTGGTTAATAAACTGACTGATTGATAAACACTGACTGATTAATAAACTCTGTGATTAATAAACACTGACTGCTTAATAAACACTGACTGGTTAATAAACACTCACTGATTAATAAACACTCACTGATTAATAAACTCTGTGATTAATAAACACTGACTGATTAATAAACACTGACTGATTAATAAACACTGACTGGTTAATAAACTGACTGATTAATAAACACTCACTGATTAATAAACACTGACTGATTAATAAACACTGACTGATTAATAAACACTCACTGATTAATAAACTCTGACTGAATAATAAACACTGACTGATTAATAAACACTCACTGATTAATAAACTCTGACTGAATAATAAACACTGACTTATTAATAAATTCTGACTGATTAATAAACACTGGCTGATTAATAAACTGACTGATTAATAAACTGACTGATTAATAAACACTCACTGATTAATAAACACTGACTGATTAATAAACACTGACTGATTAATAAACACTCACTGATTAATAAACACTCACTGATTAATAAACTCTGTGATTAATAAACACTGACTGATTAATAAACACTGACTGGTTAATAAACTGACTGATTAATAAACACTCACTGATTAATAAACACTGACTGATTAATAAACACTGACTGATTAATAAACACTCACTGATTAATAAACTCTGACTGAATAATAAACACTGACTTATTAATAAATTCTGACTGATTAATAAACACTGGCTGATTAATAAACTGACTGATTAATAAACTCTGACTGATTAATAAACACTGACTGATTAATAAACACTGATTAATAAACTCTGTGATTAATAAACACTGACTGATTAATAAACTGACTGATTAATAAGCACTGGCTGATTAATAAACTGACCGATTAATAAACACTGACTGATTAATAATCTCTGACTGATTAATAAACACTGACTGATTAATAAACACTGACTGATTAATAAACACTGATTAATAAACTCTGTGATTAATAAACACTGACTGATTAATAAACTGACTGATTAATAAACACTGACTGATTAATTAAGTCTGAGATTAATAAACTCTGAGATTAATAAACATAAATATGGTAAAATTCAACAAGAATTTCTTGTTATTAAAAAGCAGCTCCTAGTTTAACTTTTTTATGAAGTATTGATTAGATAAACCCGGTATTAGATGATTATGATGATTATGATGATGATGATGATGATGATAACTATAAGTAACACTGATCGTCCTTGAGGAGTGTTAACGGTTCAACACACCGACACTCATAAAATCACTATTTTTTATATCAGTTTTGCAGCAAAATTTTACAGCTTTATGATTTATTTGATGCAGTCAGTGCATTTCTGTATATAATCTGTCTGAATTTCTCTGTCAGTTTTATTTTTTAAACATATCTTTGTTTTTGCTGATGATCATCATGTGAGTGTGTTTGTGCTCTGGTGGTTTATTTAGCGTTTCTGTTCACTGTGTTTCTCCTGCTTCCAGCAGCAGAGCTGGAAAACTCCAGCACTGAGGTGTTTTGTGTGGCGTCACATGATCAGTTGTTAAAGGGGTATTTACAGTGGTGGTGATAGGAACCAGGGGTCGCCATGACT